TTTGTCCTTTCCTCAGAAGATTGTAATTTTGCACACTCAGCAAAATCTATCTCTTTCTCAGTTTTCTTTGGGTGAATTCTGAAGATTTGCAAAACTATTGAGTTCTTCATATTCCTATGCTATTATTAGATCCACAAGGAGTTTCTATGCCTTTCTTTTTTGTCCTTTGTTACATGTCATAACCTGAAGCTGTATAAACCCATAACTCAGTCTAGCAGTTTTACACATTTTGAAGGGTCATGAGTTTTTCAAGTGAAATAATTTGTATTCAGTATCCTCCATGCATCAGCAACTATAGTATGGTAAACTTCTGGACTATTTTTATATAGTCTTCAATCTGGCAAACTCTGATTGAATTCACTGGGGGTTTGCATTTTTCAGAAATAAGTACAATATTTTTCTGCAAACTTGGTACTGACTTGTATCAATGTGTTCAAACAAAATAGTACTATTCAATCATAAACATCAGCAAAAAGTAATAAAAATTAAAAATAAACCACATCATTTGCACTAAAATGACTGAAAAACTTAACTGCAACAGCTGCTGTCCATCCTACGTGACCTCTAGCTCCTCAATAGAAACCAATTCTCCGTTACTACTAAGCACTGAGGGTAAAGTTAATAGCTCTGCTTGTATTTGATTATTGTTATTATTGCAAAGTCCAGTTCATAAGACTGTATGTCATGTGGTGCAATGGAAGCTATAACCTCTGTTTTCTTCTATACCAAAGCAATTTAGAGATGTAGCAAGATTCAAGAATTTTCCTGACACAGAAAAGAATTTTTCCCATTGCAAACCCATGATATATCAGAACATGTAATGATTAAGCTTTGTATGAATTATAACGAATTTGTACCAAGATGAGTAAGGACGCAACAAAAACCTGGATGGGAAGTGTTAGTAATGAGTTATGATAAATGAACAAGCCAACAAATATTCAGGTGGAAAGATAAAAAGCATTATTTTCACTTCCATGTCTAACTGCAAAATAAAACCAATGTCAACTGTTTTCATGATACTTTTTTTCAACACCCTTTGAGTTTTGAATATACAATGATGACCATAAATACACCTCATGAACTGTCAGGACATACCACAACTGGCACAGCAATGTACAACACATCAAATCAGCACTAGCTAAAACAAAGAAATTTTAAAAGATGTGGCTTTTCAAAACCTGCTTGTGCTTTTTTTATTCTTTACTAGCCTCCAATGAAAATCAACTTCTTTGAAATAACTCTAGACATTCCTGCATTCAGCAGTACATGAATTCTGACACATCTCTGGATCCATGCAGAACAAGCAAGAAAAATAATAAAGTTTATTATTAAAAGAAAGTGCATTCTTATGAACATACATCTATTAGGATGTGCTGCCACTCTTGACCATGGGAAAGTCTACAGATGACTTACTGTTGGTTTCAAGACTTTCACAGAGTTCAGTTTTGACCTCGCCATTTGGTCTGTCATTTCCTTTTTGGGTCAGTTTGCTTTGCATTGTAGCAGCTGTCACTACAGCCTTGAAGCTCCGCTTCCGTTTTTGAACATTCTGCTCTGGATGAAAAATGATAATATAAACCTTGGGCATGTAGAGCATGCCCAGTGATACAGAAGCACTTAAACTCATGGAGACAGTAAGTGTTGTTGTCTGGATGTACATCTGGGGAAGGAAAAAAACAACAACATAAAAATCATTGTTATATTGATTTAATACAAGAAGGAAAACAAAGTAATTAACTTAAAAGTACAGGGTAGAAAGGGAACATACATCAGAAGGACCCTGGGCTTTTGTTGCTTTTAATTATAGCTGAGTATGACCATTTCATGTTAATTTTATAACCTTAAGAGTAAGCGGCGGAAACAATGTAATATTCATGAAACTTCATTCTCATAAAAGTAATCAAGATGCTGTATCAAACACATTTTTGGTAAAGAAACAATATGTTGTACAAGAAAAGAGGAGTGACAATGAGGTTAGCCTTGTGTCATCTACTTCAACAGCCAGAAGCCTCTAGAGCAATATGACACATGGTGATGCAACAGTGCGTGCAGCATGGCTCAACTGACAGCAGCATAATGCAGAATCTAATGAAATCTTTGATATACTCTTTGAGTTTCAAGCTTGGAATAAAAATTAGTTTCTCCACAGTGATGCTTAAATATTCTTGAGTTTGTTGGGTTTCTGGTTGCTTGTTTGCTTCATTTTAATATTTCCATGCTACTGTTGAATTCCAATCATAATGCTCTGTTGGCACACACTAAACTTACTAATAAATCATGGTCCTAACTAAGAAATAAGAAAACTGAGGAACCACGAAATTACATCACAGAGGACCTCAGTTCCCTATAGATATAAAGGAAAAATCTGGCATATCCGAGTGAGTCTGTCTATTGTAGGTAACTCTGGTCTTCCATAGTCCCATAAAAGAAAACGATAGTGATCACTGCATATGAACAGCAGAGTGAAGTTTCTATTCGAAGTATTCAGATAGTATATTCGGAATACTAATTGCAGTTCTGTGCAGCATTTATTTTTTCTTAGCAAATCACTTTTTCTTAGCCATATTATCAAAAAACAATTTTTTTTTACAGCTCTGTCTAAAGCAGGAAATCTCTCAGTAATCCTTGTTCTACTGAAAAAGATACTGAAGTAAAACCCGCTCAATGCCTTGGCAGATGATTCACTGACATTGTTGTCAGGCATGATTTTAAGCACTGACCAATACTATCACATTAACCTGGAGATAAGGTGGTAAGTCTGTCTGCAATGTCAGCTTCAGATCATCAGTTTTTATGAAGTGCCCTTGGGTGACTTGGCCCTTGGCAGAAAAGTAGATATATAATAAATTGTTGTGCAGTCACTGTTATAGTTCAACATTTTAAATGTCTTTCAGCTTACAAAGTTTTTCCATTAGATACTTTCTCCTTAGAGATCACAAATAAACTGTGCTCTCACTTTAAGCAATCTTAGGCAAGAAAAGAGCAAGAACTCATTGAATCACCTTTTAAAGTAACTGTATAATTGTACGGAAAACTGACAAATACTACCATAAAGTAAGGGAAAGCCCAATTTGCTCTTTTAAGAAAAGACTCACAACGCCTGAAAATCTTTAAGAAGCTGAACCTGCTTTCAGGGACAGCACCAGAAGGAAAAAACAATCAGAAAAAGGCAATCAGGATTGTCTTTCTGTTGTGCTGAGGAAAGTTGTAGGAACAACACCTTCCTTCACTTCAATAATACATCAAGAGAGTACTTGAGAAAACATATATTACACCATCTTTTCTCACACCAGTAAAACAATTCCATTCCTTTCAATTTCCAAAGTGACAGTGGTGTGCCTGAAATCAGAGCTTGAGCTATGTTATGCGTGAACATTTCTAATGCAAACCTTACACAGTCACATTAATAAGCAGGTTTTTTCTGACTTCTGCGCAGATCCATGCCCACATGCAGACCAATGACATGTCCATTTCTCTCTGAATCAAATTGGCTGATGTTCAATTAAACTGGTACAGTAGTGGCTTTTAGAGTTAAGCGTTGCATTAAGTGCTGCCTAAAAGCAAAAGTATTTTGGTTTCTAAGATGCACATATTTCCTAACGGGATTTTCAAAACTGAAATCAATGCAAGTAATACCTTTAACAAACTTCAATGTGCATGAAAATTCCATTAAACATAAAAAATCCTTTTTGAAGCCTTACCATTTTTTAAAATCCAAGTCATGGTAGTTAAGTGGGTAGCTAAGCCTCACCCATGGATTCTGTAACATTTAAATATGCATTTTTTAATTCCTTATCAAGTACCCAAGCTGTAAGGGTTGTCTTCCTCTTATGGTTCAGACTAAGAGTTATAGGGTAAAATACATACATTCATGTAACAGTCATATTAACATCAAATCCATACATTATGGTACATCTCAAATATATTTTTTGCACTAAGTTGTCCCATAGTGCAAAGCTCTTACAAATATTAAAGAGGTTTCTCTTAGTATGTCAATGTCTGCTTGAAGGTTTATATTCAGCTAAGCTTCATAAGTGAAATGACTTTGAATCTGATCATACATGCACTGAAATAATAAGAGCCCGTAGATATCCACACAGTGCAAGCATTTTGCATGAGATATGTCATTACATCTAATCTATTTTCTGATGATTTAATCGACGAGCAGCACAAGAGACTATTTACAAAAATCCATATTACAGTTAGTTTCAAGTTGCTGATTACAGTTCATATGCAGTGGGGTTTATTTCTAATGATTGCTGTGTTTTTGAACTAGCCACTACAACTAAAACATTAAAACTAATGTGAGCTGGGAGTTTTCTGACAGAACAGTTTTCAAATAGTGAATATAGTCTTTAAAAGGCTCCAGCCTCCTGTTTGCATGGATCACCCTAACTACTTACTCTTTGATTAAGCCAGTGAGAAAGAAAGGGTTCAAGAAACTTGCTAGGCCTTCAGAGGAAGGCTTTGAACACATACTTACATGTACACAATTGCATACTCAGCTGAAGAGTAGTTGTCAATGACAGCCTGAGTCTTATCTTTTCCTACTGGAATCATAGAATAATTTGTGTTGGAAGTGGCCTTTAAAAATAATCTAGTTCAGGCCCCCTGCAGTGAGCAGGAACATCTTCAATTAGATCAGGTTGCTCAGAGCCTCAGCCAACCTAACCTTGAATTTTTCCAGGAATGGGACATCTACCACCTGTCTGGCTAAACTGAATCTACCCTCTTTTAGTTTAAAACCATTACCCTTTGTCTGCTCACAACAAGCTTGCAACTTTCTTTTTTAAGTGGTGACTTGCAGGCTGAGATTCTGTTTATGGGACAGGAACATCTCCTGCATTTATGCCTTCCTGTCTTTGGAATTCCCATTCATGCAGCCTGATGAAGCACAAATCTAGCAAACAGGATACCACACACTTGGTTTGACTTTTGTCTGACTCTTACCTTGTTTTATCCCTGACAAGAGGACAATGATGTTTTATGGCTGTGCATTCTGGGTACTTTTATTATTCAGGGAACATAACTACCTGCAACTTTTACAGAATTAGCTGCTCTAAAAATCAAGGAGCAACAAAAGTAGTTCAGTTTAATAAGATATGAGGTCTGAATAATTTTTCATGTGTCTCACAGTAGTAGCTCACTTGAAGTTACAGGAGAATAAAGGTCCTTTTCTCACAATGATTCATAGTCACACAGAAATGAATTTCAGCACTCCTCACACTAAAATCCCTTCTGAACTACAAACTTTTTGTCCAATAATGCCTTTCACAGAGGTAACAAAGACTGCTATATCTATTCTCCTTGTTCTTGACAGTCAGAAGATAAGTCAGAAAACTAAAATCATGGTACCACAAGAAAAAAACATCTTTATATTATGGGAAACACTTGAGGCCTACATACCTTCCTGTCTCCATTCCCCACCCCAACCCCACACCAGAACTGATACAGGACTTTTAATGTACAGTTTTTAACCTGCACAGTTGACAAAGAATTCCTCACAACAGGCTGCTTCTCATGTAAATGATTTCAAACCCCACTCAGACACATGTCTGTCCCACAAATGACCTAGGCTCTTTCCTCATCAGAAGGATCATACAAGCTTGGTAATATAGCCCCTGACTACATCAGCAGCCGGAAGAGATAATGGCTGTGTGGCTATTTAGGGATTTTCAATCTTCTACTGTCAATTCTAGGACTATGTATCTCATTCTTTCCACTCTGAAACTTAAAATGTTACATAGGAAATATTGGGACACTGCAAAATGTTATTTTAGTAAAACACATACTCTGATAAGTGCTCCAATTTTAAAGTACTTGAAACTGAATTGCATTCTTGGTAACCTGAAAAATTTCTATGCATCAAAGCAGATGTGCATACCGAATTGTCCCAGTGCAGGTAGATGAATAACTACCTCTTGGCTAGGTTTTGCTGCTTGGAACTAAAATATCCTCCATGTCCCCAGTAGTGTCCATCAGTTTGGCTCTTGCTGAGGCAAAGGTCAACACAAAGCAACCACTTTCATTAGAATAAAAAAAATATAGTGGTAATGTCATAACTTTGTCCAGATTGCTTCCTTGGTTTGAGTCTTCCCCTACTTTCCCACATAGGATTATATTCAGGTTTTCTCCAGAATTATTGACTTTCTCATTCTATTTATTTTTCTTTCCTATTCAGTTTTAATAGATAAAATAGAGGTTACCTCTTACCAACCTGTGCGCTAATCTGGTTTTAAAAGTATATTCTCGAAAGGTAGGAGATACAGCTATTGAGATGCCTTGAGTATACTGAATCTATGTTTTCCACTTTGGTGCAAGCTCTCTATCTGCTAGTAGTTCTACCACAGAAGAACAAGTCCATCAGTTAGTGAAGTGCTAAATCACAAAGGGAAGTCTTGGTACATCTCAAGCTATGAGTGTGCATGATGTAGACTCAACTCAGCTACTTCCAAAGTGTGGCAGATGTTTAAAATGACACAGCTGATCTAATGACTCTCCTTGGCTCATTCTATACAATTTGCCCTTTAGAAGCACATTTCTCCACAGGCTAAAGCAATAGCCTCAGTATCAAACACTGGAGTCTGAACCATCCTGCTGAGACAGATATACACAGACAGGCACTCTTCAACATGTCCAACACTGCTAGTAACTGAGCAG